CGGCGCATGTGGGCGGTCCCGCCGCCCACGTCCTCCGCGGCGAGAAAAGCCCCGTTCGTATGTAGGGATCCGACATAAGTCGGATCCATGTAACTTGGGGACTGCCTTTACTCCTGTAATGCTTTTCATCAGTAGGTCTGGTCAATGCACAAAGTTGCACCTGATTCACCCAGGGCATGTTTTTAAATCGATTTAATTAAACAGGGGCAAAAAACGATGTGGGCCCTTTTAATTCAATTTAAACATGTTTTTTTATCAGTTTATCTTATGAGATAGGTGTTATAAACCGGTTTTGAACCAACGGAAGTATCCACAGTTAAAGCTAAATCAGTTTTTATATTGGGTTGGGCAAAACATGGCCCATGGGCTGCTCAGAGCAGCTTTCTAAACACTGCAAGCCCAGGAGGAAAGGGGAGAGGCTTTATGCACTGCCCCCACCCCTAGCACAATCTTGCAGCTTTCATTGGCTGGTTTCTGGCCAATGGAAGCTGCCGTACCACTCCTGACCTCCCTACAGGCTCGCAGCCTTCAGCACTCACATGATCCCAGCAGCCTGTGGGGGCATGGAAGTCAGGGAGTCTGGCTGAGGACTCACTGTGCTGCTGACAGGGAGCTACCCAGGGCCTCCCTGCTGACAGGGAGCTCCCTGGCCAGAGTCTGTCTCTGGCACCCCAACCCTCCCCCACATACACACACTCTGCAGCCCTATCCCACATAACCCAAACCTTCTTCATACCTGCACTTGTTCCCATATCTTCTTCTAGACCCCATACCTCCTCCATTAACATAATGACCACTTACCAAATTCTTGGAGTCCCCCCTCATCAAAAATTATTGCCCTGTTTTACATCGTCAATGAATAGACAAGGCCTTGCATCTCAAAGCATTTTACAAGGAGACTAAGCATATTTATTCACAGATGATGGGGAACCTGACAAGAATCAGTTAAGTTCCTTGTCAAAGATCACCCAGTGAATCAGTGAGGTAAAGACGTGTGAACTGGTTAAAGGGGAGACTACAGTGGGTCATAATGAAAGATCTGTCAAGCTAGAGGGGAGTTACAGTGGAGTTCCTCAGGAACCAATCTTATTTAACATTTTCCTTAATGATTCTGGACACAGTAAGTGGGAGTGTGCTTATAAAATCTGCATATGACACAAAGTTGGGAGGTTTTCCCAATATAGAGGAGGACCAAAATAGCATACAAGAAAATGTGGATGGCCTTAAACATTGGAGTAAGAGAAACAGATGAAATTTATCAGTGAAATGCACAAGGTCATGCACTTGAGAACTAATAAGAAGAACTTTTGCTATCTGCTGTGGCTGCATCAGTTAGAAGTGACACTCAGGAGAAAGACCTGGATATATTGATCACAGGATTTCTATGAGTTGTCAACATGATATAGCAATGAAAAAAGACTAATGCAATCTTAGAATGCATCTGGCATGGTATTTTCAGTAGAGAGTGTGTTGTTATCATTGTACAAGGCACTGGTGAGAGCTCATTCGTAATACTGTGTTCCCTTCTGGTCTTCCATGTTTAAGACTGATGTATCCAAACTAGAACAAGTGAAAAAGAGGGCTGCTAGGAAGATCAGAGGAATGGAGACCCTACTTTATGAGGGGAGAATTAAGAAGCATAGCTTGTTTAGCCTAACAAAACAAAGACTGAGGAGAGATATGATGGCTGTCTATAAAGACAGTGTTTCTCAACCAGTGGTACAAGTACCCTGAAGGGTACTCGAGAGAAGTCTAGAGGGTACGTCAACACAACTGAAATTTGGAGAAAACTGAATTTTTGTTTTAAGATTTACAGTGCTTTATTATTTTTGTACTTTTTACATCCAAAAATTTCATCTCCTGCCCAACTATGACTAAGTTGTTTAAACAAATGTGTTACAATGGTAGAAAAAAACTGTGTGTGTCTGAAAACTTTAGGTACTGGGGGTACTTTTTTTTAAGGGGTACTTTATTAAAAAAGGTTGAGAAACACTGTATAAAGACATCAGAAAGACAAACACCAGCAAGTGAGCAGACTTTTTAAGTTGAGGCCCAATGTGGACACAAGAACAAATGGATATAAACTGACCATCAATAAGTGTAGGCCTGAAATTAGACAAAGATTTCTAACCATTAGAGGAGCAAAGTCCTGGAACAGCCTTCCAAAGGGTGTAGAAGGGATGTTATGATGAGTTTTTCTACCATGGGACATGGCCCATCTGTGACTGTTAGCAGCAAACATCTCCAATGGCCAGGGATGGGATGGTAGATGGGAAGGACTGTGAATTACTATAGATGTATGGCAGGTGCATCTTACACACATGCCCAGGGCCTAAATGATCACATTTGAGACTGGGGGGGAAAATTTCCCGTCAGCTTAGCAAAGGCCCTGAAGGGAAAGAATTAATTTTCTTTTGCAACATAGGGCATGGGTCACTTGCTGATCTGAACTAGAGTAAATGATGCGTTCTCTGTAACTTGAAGTCTTTACATCAAGATTTGAGAACTTCAGTAGCTCAGCCAAAGGTTACTGACCTATTACGGCAATGTGTGAGTGAGATTCTGTGACCTGAAGTACTCAGGGAGCCAGACTTGATGATCATGATGGTCCTTCCTGGTCTGAAAGTCTGTGAATGACAGAGTGGGAAGTGAAAACCCAGGTCTCCTGGCTCGCAGACTTGTGCATTATCCATTGGCCCATCTTCTTCTCTAATAAGAGTAGGATCCTGTGAGCTTGCCCATTCAAGTTCCCCTGGTGCTGTATAAAATCATCATATATTAGGAGGAGTTATGGAACAAACAGACTGATGCAAAGAGAGCCTCTTGCAAAGAGTTTAATATGCTCAACTGACATCAGTAGGAATTGGCGGTGGGAGTTTTCAGGATCAGGCCCACTTTAAATAACCACTCCAGTTGCACCATCTTTAATGTCTTTTCTCTTACTACATCCACCCCTCTCCTTCTTTTATCCTTCTTCTTCACCCATTCTGATTTTCACCCTAAACACTGCCCTGTGTTTACTAGCTGAAAAGTTCACCTTCACAACTTCTTTGCTCTTTGATCAGAGCAGAACTGCTTTAGAGCAACAGCTTTGGTTATGGTATGAGTTGGCAACACTATGTAAAAAAAAACCCATAAGTGCTAAGCAGCTGTGGTTATTTTGCCAATTATTTCCTAAGCTACCCTATTTTGTAATATTTCACAAAGCTTACATCACAGTGTGTACGCACAACCCTGTATCAAAGTGAAGAGGGAGAAAGTACAATTAAATAAAAAAGACTGTAATGGTTTTCAGAAGTACTGAGCAGCCAATACTCAGCACCTTTGAAAAATCAGACAATTCATTTTAATGTTGGTTTAAAAATTAATCAGACACCCAGTGGATGACTTTTTGTCAGAAAAAGGATCAGTTCAATTCTGTGACTACTGGCTGGGCTTTTCTAGGCAAAGATTAGTTTATTCTTTTGTGATTCTTTGCAAAGTATTAAGACTGAATAGTAAAAATGAAAGGGGCAATGTTTCAAGTTGAAAGGCTCAAAATTTAGATTACAGTCTTTTCTTCAAATTGCAAAGTCTACATAATTCTTTATTGGCTTTTTTCCTCTGGCATAATATTTAAATACTACTTTTTAAACAAAGAAAAATGAAAATTCACTTGGCAGAAAGGCCAGCACTTGTGAGTAACCCTATAATAACAAACCTATCTGCATACATGATGTAAAAAAAAAGTGTTTTAAGAAACAGGTTTCAATTCCACCCTTCTAAGAGGTTAATACAATACATAATAATTATTTTAAATGATAAAAACACACTGATGGTGCCCTTTTATTAAAATGTATTCAAAGGTCTTTAAACTCTGATATGTTATGGGTCATATTTTCAAGAATGAAGGCCAGAAGTCAATGCACAAAAAGCATGACTGAATGTGCAGCCTTTGATTGTGCATATAAGCATACTAAGCACAGTGCATGTTGAACCTCTATAAATTGGGCTTCTCTGGTCCAGCAACTGAACCACAGATGTTCCTGGACCAGAGACCTCTAGCAGCCGGAGTGCACCAACAGGAGAGCCAGTGTCCGAGAACCTTGCTGGGGGATGGCAATAGTGCTGACCACTGGCACCAGAGCCAGCAGCTGGCAGCAGGGTCAGGAGCAGGGAGCCCAACCAGGCCAGAGTAGAGGGGGCCTGGTGTTGACCTCTTGTGGTCCAGCTAACCTCGTTCAGGACTAGTCAGGTCCTGGCAGTGCCGGACCAGGGAGGTCCAAAAGATACTCCAGGAGCTATTTGTACATGAACTCTTACTATCTAAATGCATAATTGCAGCAAATTAGTTTCAATTGTGACTGTACTTTTTACACATGTACATGAGTGCCACTTTTTGAAATTTTGGCCCTGTGAGCAGTGTTGCTACACTATGGGCTTTTCAAACCACTCTAAGAGAAACCATCACCTACATGACATATTGTTGTCTTTGGCTTCTATAAAAAAATCCAGACTAAATTTGCCATATAAGGGCCCAATCCAACTACCATTGAAAGACTCCAATTGATTTCAGCAGCAGTAGGACAAGGCCCCCAAATGAAAACTTCACTTTCCCAGAGCCTACATGATACATACTCTTTGTGAGCACCTACCTTGACTCTTAATTGTACCCAAATTTATACCAAGATTCTTCAGAAATTCTTTATAATCCAATGTATTAGTTTTACCAACACAAGAACGACTCCACAATCTAGAAAAAAAAGCAACTCCTTTCAGTGAACAACATTATTCTGTGTCAAATCGGTAGTGAAACATTGGAATATGAACATATATGATCTTCACAGAACATTATGTAATTATTAAGAGAGGAAAGATAGCACAAATGCATTGTATTATTTCTCCAAGACTTTATTTATGTGGTATCTGAGTTGTCTACGTAATTAATCCCACACCAGCATCTGATTCAGCTGACTATGTACCTGAATATAAAAGTTTATAGATGCACACAGAAATTCCTTTTTTCCAGTTACACATGAAAACTATGGAACTTCTTAACCAAAGCCCAGTGTAAGCTATGGCAAACTGAGCCTAAATTCTGTTACAACGTGCCTGGGTTTTGCAGCAGTCAGATCCAATGGACTGGACTTCTGCAGCAGCTTCATTTGAATTAAACATTTGAATTTTTATTGAATTAAGTATGGAAATGAATTTTACAATTAGAACCATGTCCCCCGTGTAATTTATTTTGATATTAAATTTTCCAGTCTGGGAAACAATTTGGGTATGGGATGAGCATATTTGCTAAATATTTGTGCTGATCATTGGTGAAATAGTTAATAGGATTAACAGTTAGGTTGTTCTCTTTGGATTTAAGTCAACCCATTGCAATCAATGGGTAATTCATACCTTTCAAAACTATTGTTTGAGACTGTGGGTTTATGTGAAAAAACTCTCACTTGATGTTTCCACGTTTATCTTTCTAATTACTAATTACTAGCTTGTTTAATGAAAGCTGAGATTTTATAGTACAGTTCATACATACATAGAGTTTAAGTCTTACATATACTATTAAATCATCTAGTCTCAACTCCTATATATCACAAGCCAGTTATCCCGATACTGAAGCCAATAACTTGTAGTTGACTAAAGTATATCTTCCAAAAAGGCATCCAGTCTTGATGTGAAGAGAACAAAAAATGAGCAACTTTGCTTGGTAGTTTTTTCCTAAGGGTAATCACACTCATGGTTAAAACTTCATCCCTAATTTCTAATTTGAATTCCTCTGGCTTCAGCTTCTAGTCATTGGCTCTTGTTATGCCCTTCTCAATTAAATTAAAGAGCCCTTCAGTGTGTACTATTCTCTCCCTGTGCAGATTTTTATACAATCAATCTCCTTTTTTATAAGCAACTTGGACAAATCACTTAACCTTCTTTTACCTCAGTTTTCCCATCCATAAAAGTGGGATACAGTGCCTACATACCCAAAGGAATAACTAGCTAATATTTGTACAGTGCTTTGAAATCTGTAAAGCATGACAGAAAAATGTATTCATAATAAAATGGATAGACCATCTTCCAACTTGAAGCAAACTTCCCTGTACAATTCAAAATAAAGGAAATACTTCACAAACATTGTGTGATTGGCTTATTTGAACACTGGGGGTATGTCTACACTACCCCCCTAGTTCGAACTAGGGGGGTAGTGTAGACATACCCTCACTGATTAGCATTATCTGGCTCTAGGTAGATTTTCAGTCCATGTACCAGATCTAACAGACCTAGATAATGAAGTTTCATTCTTGTTGAGCTTCTGACCTTTCAAGTACTTACCCCCTCTGTACACCTCGTTCATAAATCATTATGAATTACGAGGCGTACAGATAGATCGGAATGGCTACATAGTTCGAACTATCTAGCTCGTGCCGCGTGTAGCCGCGCGGCACGGGGTTCGCACTAGCCGGCTTTTAAAAATGGCGGCGCCGGCTTTATGCTAATGAAGCCCGGGAAATTCAAATCCCGGGCTTCATTAGCAAGTTCGGTATGCATACATTACCCCCCTAGTTCGAACTAGGGGGGTAGTGTAGACATACCCTGACAGACCAATCATGAAAAAAAGCCATGTTAAAGTCAGGTTCAAGCTTTATCTTGGCATAAATGACATGTCACTCATGATACAGCTGTCTGACATTAATACTTTTTTGGAGCTCAGTTTTTATAACATTCAAATACTGTTAAATCCAGGTATAAACACACATTATCAAAAATTAATACTCATCATCTTCCAGTAAAACATTAGTGACAGTTTTCATCAAGACATGGATGTTCCAATATCTAACATCTGAAAAGTTCCTCCTTCCCATACGTTGTATGGTTACTGCTACCAGACAGTGACTGGTGATTGAAGAAGAAAGCTTATTCTGGATTTTCATATGCCAAAGTTAAAAAATCAGTCCTATCAACCAAAAATTGAACTACAGCACTAATTATTTGTTCAGAACATCATTATGAATTACAAGCTGCTCTTGGCAATGATCAATTGAAAGGGAACCAAAAATACCCAAGCCATAATTATGGATCACAATCTTATGTTGCATGCTTTATCACTACCTTAGGTTACTATAAAAACGATTTAGTGCAGTGTTTCTCAACCAGTGGTACAAGTATACTTAGGGACACTCGAGAGAAGTCTGGAGGGGTACATCAACACAACTGAAATTTGGAGAAGACTGAATTTTTGTTGTAAGTATTACAGCATTTTATTATTTATGTATTTTTTACACCCAAAAATTTAATTGCCCACCCAACTACAATTAAGTTGTTTAAACAAATGTGTTTCAACGGTAGAAAAAAAAGTGTGTCTAAAAACTGTAGGTACTGGGGGTACTTTATCAAAAAAAGGTTGAGAAACACTGATATAGTGCAACTTGGAAATATAGGAAATGGAGAGTGAGCTTTTCTTTACAGCATCCACAAACAATGGTGCAAATCCTACCCCCACGGAAATCTGTAGGTGTTTTATCAGTGATTTCACAGAGAGTAGAACTGATTCTTGTATTTACTAAAGGAAATAAATAATGAAATATGCATTCCTGATGGAGGAAACCATGTTTATATGCTTTTTGGGCAGACTCATCCTGATAGTTATTTCAATTCTAAAAGCATTCTATCTAAGTGGCAATCTCAGTGATGTTTACCATATTGTGATATTTGTAGTACAGTACTCATAATTATTTGCATAACTTCTTTAATCCTAAAGGTACTATGAATTATACCTCAGAACTGTAATGGTCATGATGCTGAAAATGAAAAAAAAAGATTAGATAAATAAAATAAGGTGGTAATCTACTGATGCACAGCACAATGAACATACTAAGAAATTTTGTGCGAGGATATAGGCGTAAATCTCTACTTAAACAAAAAAGTATTATTTTTAAAGGGTCTGTTTGCTGTGCCTTGTATGTAGTAATGTTTCAGGTTACAACTGAAAAATGTTAGCTGGCAAAAACCTCTCTATTATTTGTGTGATTACTTTTATTATTTGTCAGCACCATGTCTAGTCGCTTTCAACTGTTTCCCCTGTATTCTCAGTAATCCAAAATAGGGATCATAGAATCCTAGGGCTGGAAGAGACCTCAGTAGGTCATCGAGTCCAGCCCCCTGCCCAAAACAGGACCAACCCCAACTAAATCATCTCAGCCAGGACTTTGTCAAGCCGGGACTTGAAAACCTCTAGAGATGGAGATTCCACCACCTCCCTAGGTAACCCATTCCAGTGCTTCACCACCCTCCTAGTGAAATAATTTTTCCCAATACCCAACCTAGATCTCTTCCACTGTAACTTGAGACCATTGCTCCTTGTTCTGCCTTCTGTCACTACTGAGAACAGCAACTCTCCATCGTCTTTGGAACCTCCCTTCAGGAAGTTGAAGGCTGCTTTCAAATCCCCGCTCACTGTTTTCTTCTGCAGACTATAAAAGCCCAAATCCCTCAGCCTCTCTTTGTAGGTCATGCGCTCCAGCCCCCTAATCATTTTGGTTGCCCTCCGCTGGACACTTTCCAATGTGTCCACATCCTTTCAATAGTGGGGGCCCAGAACTAGACGTAATACTCTAGATGTGGCCTCACCAGTGCCGAATAAAGGGGGCTAATTGTAAAACTTTTAAATGGTTAACCAATAAGCCTGGGCTCATCAGTTACAATTAACAGTTACATGCAGGCTCCTGGCCCACTCCTAGGGGGCCGGCTGCCACCTTGCACTGCTGGCTTGGTATCAGAGCCCATAACACAGGGTGGTAGCTGGCTCCCTGGGAGTGAGGCTGGGAGCCAGGAATGGGGCTGAGAACCAGGAAGTGCAGGGAGCCAGTTTAAAAGCCAGTTCCTGGGACATACCAGCTTCCAGGGAACCAGCTGCCACGCTGCACTGCTACCCCTCTATCACAGGCAGCAGCGTGGGATGGCCGCTAGCTCCCGAGGAACGGGTTTGCAGGTGAGAGCTAGTGCGTGCCGGAAGCTGGCTTTTAAGTCAGCTCCTGGGGCACACTGGCTTCCCAGGAGCAGGGCCAGCAGGCAGGAACCAGTATGTGCCAGGAGCCAGCTTAAAAGTCAGCTTCCGACATACACCAGCTCCCAGGGAGCCAGCTGCCACCCTGTGCTGCAGGCTCTTCAGTATAAAGCTTATACTGCAGAGCCCGCAAGGCAGGCGGGGCCCCGGGAGCAGGGCGAGCCAGCTCTGCTCCCAGGGAGCCAGCTACACTGCAGGCCCTGCAGTATGAGTTTCATACTGTAGAGCGCACCATGAGATTTTCAGTAGTTATAGAGTTACCTAATAACTACTTTTTAACATCCATTCTCCAAAGCAACTTAAAGTCAACAGAAAGCCATTGTCTTAAGTGGGCTTTGAATCAGACCCCTAATTAGAGTCTGATGCTGCAAACACGCATAGTAATAGAGATGTAGCCGTGTTAGTCTAGTCTAGCTGAAACAAAAAACAGGACTATGTAGCACTTTAAAGACTAACAAGATGGTTTATTAGGTGATGAGCTTTCATGGGCCAGACCCACTTCCTCAGGTCAAATTGTGGAAGAAAATAGGCATGACCATGTATACCAAAGGGATACAGTCAAAAAAAGTGAACACACATAAAAAGGACAAATCAAATTTCAGAACAGAGGGGGGATGAGAGGGGAAGGTAAATGTCTGCGAGCTAATGATATTAGAGGTGATAATTGGGAAAGCTATCTTTGTAATGGG